TTTGTATGCTAGACTAAACAATTATGGACGTTTTGAGGATGAGAAATAACTTAAAATATTTTTGTCCGGTTTATTAATGTCTAGTATTTCATACCAAACATACTTTTACTTCTCGATCTTCATATCTTGGATCAGAATTTACGATATTTTTCTCAATACTAGGTTACTCGGGCAACGTCAAACAAGAAATAACTGGAGTTCTATATCATGAAATGACGCACATATGGCAATGGAATGGAAACGGAAGAGCCCCGGGAGGTCTTATAGAGGGAATTGCTGATTATGTGAGGCTTAAGGCCGGCTATGCACCGAGCCATTGGGTGAAACCCGGGCAGGGCAACCGGTGGGATCAAGGGTACGACGTAACAGCACGGTTTCTAGACTACTGTAATAGCTTAAAGCGTGGATTTGTTGCACAACTTAACAATAAGATGAGGAATGGCTATAGTGATCGCTATTTTGTGGATCTTCTTGGGAAAAATGTAGATCAACTATGGAAGGATTACAAAGCTAAGTTTAATAACTAAGTATTTATTATTTATATTGTTCAACTCTGTATTGTACTATTGTAACTTATGTAACATATAAAGAATAATCTTAAACCATATTGTGATAATTAATAAAACAGTACTATTGCTAATTTCCGATACTCTTTTAATGAGTTTTAATATATATATATATGAGCAAAAACAACTGATAAACATTTAGCCAAAAACAATTTTATTCAAATATTTGATATGAAACGTGAAGGAAGCTCTTGCAGTATATATAGAAGCAAGAGCAATCTATTATCCAATAGTTGGCTGACAACTCAGCAAGAGGAAAACGGTGCAAACAGAAAAGAAACAGAAAATAACAAAAACGTAAAAGACAAAAGTGATAAAACGTAAAAGTAAAGAAACACGACTATAGGCTATCAGTTGTAAGATGTCATTCTTTCAACTGAACAAAGGATCTGTCCATTGTTTGTTAAGATGATGATTCCTTCATCCNACTATAGGCTATCAGCTGTAAGATGACATTCGTTCAACTGAACAAAAGATCTGTCCATTGTTTGTTAAGATGATGATTCCTTCATCCCCCCCTCAAGTTGGCAGTGGTGTAGATCATCAACACCCAACTTGGAGAGAAGAAGAGCAAACTGAGGAAAAGCTAAGGGCTTGGTAAACAGATCAGCAAACTGGAGATGAGAAGGAACAAATTTTGGTAAGATGAAGCCACACTTAAATTGGTTTCGCACAACATGGCAATCAATGTCCAGATGTTTGGTCCGTTCGTGAAAAACGAGATTAGCTGTAATGTGTAAAGCAGCCCTGTTGTCACACCATAATGGAATGGGAGTGAGAAAAGGAATGCGAAGCTCGTTGAGGATGTAGGAAATCCAAAGCAATTCACAGACAGTACTCCCCAAACTGCGATACTCAGCCTCAGCTGAAGAGCGGGAGACGGTGGTTTGTTTTTTCGTCTTCCAGGAAATTAAAGAGGGTATATGCAATAGCCTGTGAGGGATTTACGTGTATCAAGACATGAGCCCCAATCTGCATCAGAGTAAGCTTCCAAGTTGAAGGAATTATGAACTGGGAAAAAGAGAGGGACAGCCTTTGAGATAACGGAGAAGATGCAGAGCAGTATCCCAATGTATCTGACATGGAGCATTAACAAATTGGCTTAATTGCTGAACACCATAAGTAATGTCAGGCCTGGTTAAGTTTAAGTAAAGAAGGCATCCAACCAATCTTCTGTATTTTTCTGGATCAGGAAGCAGAGAACCTGCCTGTGCTATTAATTTGGTGCCCTTTGGAATAGGGACTTGGACTGGTTTGGCACCAATGAGTCCTGCATCTTTTATGAGATCCACTATATATTTCCTCTGATTAATATACATGCCTTCTGCACTCCTTGCAATTTCTATGCCCAAGAAATACCTCGCGTAGCCTAGATCTTTGATAGTAAATGCTTGGTTCAAGTAGTTCTTGGTGGCAATGATATCTTTTTCGTGTGAGCCTGTGATGAGAACATCATCAACATAAACTAGAAGAAAAATAACATTCTGGGAAACATGCTTAGTAAATAAACAATGATCATGGGCTGATTGATGAAAACCAAAATTCTAAAGCTGTTGACAGAATTCGGTGTTCCATTGACGGGAAGCCTGTTTTAACCCATATAGACTGCGTTTTAGCTTGCAAACTTGTCTTGGCAAAGCTTTACTGTAACCCTCAGGTGGCTTCATATAGACCTCCTCATTCAAGAAGCCATGAAGAAAATCATTATTAATATCCAATTGGTGAAGAGGCCACCCTGAAGGTCGTTGTTGACGATTATTATAAGCTTGACACTGTTCGAATCGATGTCCCCTTTTTGATACAAAATAATCAATACCCTGTGTTTGATGATACCCCTTTGCAACAAGCCGAGCCTTGTATCTATCCACTGTCCCATCAGGAAGAAATTTAATTCTGTAAACCCACCATGAACCAATGGCCTTCTTGTTAGGTGGTAGAGTTGTTAACTCCCAAGTCTGATTTAATTCCAGAGCATCAAGTTCGTGCTGCATAGCCTGAGTCCATTTCTCATCTTTGCAAGCCTGAAGATATGAATCAGGTTCCTGGACAATCGACACATTTTCCCAAAAAACACTATAGGAATGTGTAAGTTTTGGAGAAACAATAAAGGGAAAAGTGGGTGGAGTATACCCAGTAGAAGATGAATGGACCCCTTTGCAGCATGAAGTAGTATCAGCAATTGGCAGATCTTGCTTGACAGTTATATTGGTGATGTAGTCTTGTAACCAGGATGGTTGGGTCTTAGTTCTAGTACTGTGTCGAAGAGCAGTAACACGTGAATCAAGGTGAGGTAAAGATTCAACAGAAAGGTCAGTAGAGGGTTCATATGAGGATTGAGTTTCAGGAAAAGGAACCTGGATAAGGGGAATGGAGTTAGAGTTGATCTCAGGAGGAAAAGTAGTATGTTGCTGTGCATCTGGGACATCACTGTTTGGAGGTAAAACATGTACTGGAGAAGGAATATCAACCTTATGTAAACTGGGCATATCCAGATCATCATCAGAATGAAGAAATAGGGGTAAAGTAGGATGAGATTCATCTGATTGATGTTGGAAGGGAAAAATGGACTCAAAAAATTCAATGTCTCTAGAAACATGTATTTGTTTAGTATGAATATCAAATATCTTAAAACCTTTTTGACCAGGATTATAACCAAGAAAAATGCACTTATGAGATCTAGAATCAAATTTAGTTTTGTGAGGTTTGGTATTTGCAATATAACACAAGGATCCAAAGGTTTTAAATAAAGAGTAATCTGGCTTGTATCCAAATAAACTTTCATAAGGAGTCTTCCAATTGAGAACCTGAGTAGGTAATCTGTTAATGATGAATGTGGCCATTAATAGTGAGTATGTCCAGAATTTTTTTGGTAAACAAGCTTGAAACATTAAGGCTCGAGCAATTTGGAGTAAATGCTTGTGTTTTCGTTCAACCACCCCGTTTTGTTGGGGTGTATATACGCAGGTTCTGTGGTGAATAATCCCAAACATTTGAAAAACATTTTGACACTCATGACTAAAGAATTCAGTCCCATTGTCAGTTCGTATGCATTTAACCTTTTTGTTGAACTGTGTTTCAACCATACGAAAGAAATTATCAAGGGTTTTGGCAACTTGTGTCTTATGCACAAGCAAGAAGGTCCAAGTGGATCGACTGTAATCATCAACAATTGTGAGCATATAAGGTGTGGCTGTGAGTGAAAATTGTTTATAGGGACCCCAAAGATCAACATGTATAAGATCAAAAATAGCTTGTGTGCGGATTGAGCTGATAGGAAATGGACTCATTTGCTGTTTAGCTTTATGACACACTTCACAGTGTTTAAGGAAATCTGGCTTGGTTGGAAGATGTTTAAGGAAATCTAGGTATTGCATAGCATTATTAAGATACATGCCCAAGTCTATAAT